CAGGTCATGATCCCAGGGTCCTGGAATCGAGCCCCACATCGGGCTCCCTGCTCCGCGGGGAGCCTGCTTCTCCCTCTCCCACTCCCCCTGCTGTGTTCCCTCTCTTGCTGTGTCTCTCTCTGTCAAATAAATAAATAAAATCTTTAAAAAAAAAAAACATATATCAGACAAAGGACTATATCTAGAATGTATGTGTTAATTAAACAAGGAAGCCATTAGACTGAGGTGGTTTTAATGCCTTAATAGCCTACCAAGCAAACCAAAACCTAAGCCTCTAATGCCTCAAGGGTAAGAATTCAAATCAAAGAACAACCATTCACAAACAGCCAACTAGGCTTTCCCAAATAATACAACTATTTAAGCTATAGCCAATCAAATAATTTTCTTCCTTTGCTTCCACCTTTTGTATATAAAAGTTGTTCCTCTAGTTCCCGTTGGTGGAGCACTCCTAAGCACTTTGGGTTTGGGGCTGTCCAATTTGATCTTACTTAAATAAACTCTTAAAATTTTAGTATGCCTATTTTATCTTTTAATATAAGGGACAATAGCAACTTAACAAGAATACACAGTGGGCAAAGGATTCACTGAAGAAGATACACAGATTATAACTAAGCACATGAAAAGATGTTCAATATCATGTTACTAAGGAAGTGCAAATTTAACCAAAATAAGGTACTCTATATACCTACTCCAATGTCTAAAATGTTAAAGGCTGTCCATAACAGGTGTTGGTGAGGATGTGGACTAACTGGAGTTCTCAAATTGGAAAACAGTTTGGCAGATTCTTAAAAATGTCATACATTTACCATAAGACCCCAACATTCCACTCATAGGTTTTTTTTACCCAAGAGAAATGGAGACATAGGTCTACAAACAGACTTAGGCAAGAATATCCATAATAGCTTTATTTACAATATTCACAAACAACCCAAATATTCATCAACAGGTGAATGAATAAGCCAATTATGGTATATCTCTATAATGGAACACCCCTCAGCAATAAAAAGGAGTGAACTGTTGATATAAGCAAAATATGGATGAATATCTAAATAATTATACTGAATTTTTAAAAGCCAGACCAAAAAAAAAAAGAGTACCTGCTGCATGATTCCATTTATACAAAATTCTAGAAAACGCAAACTAACCTATAGTGACAGAAATGAGTTGCCTGGAGATTCGGGGGTGAAAGGGAGCGGTTAATGGATATGCTTGGTATCTTGATTGTGGTGATAGTTTCACGGATGTATACATATGTCAAAACTTATCAAATTGAAAACTTTAAAATGTGCCATTTATTGTATGCCAATTATCCTTCAGTAAAGCTATGAGAAAAAAAAGAAAACCACACAATGAAATAAAAGAAAAGAATAATACACCACGACCAAGTTGGGTTTATCTCAATAATGCAAGGTTGACTTAATATTTGAGAATCAATTCATGTCATTTATCCCATTAACATCATAAAGGAGAGAACTCCATACATAATCATCTCAATTGAGGCAGAAAACAGAAATAATTCATCTTCAGAGAAATAACACAAGAAAACATGCCACAATTTAGTCATGAGCTTCCAGGCTGAAAGGGCCCATGAAGTATAATGCAGAATGAATGGGGGTGGGGGGGAAATCTCACTATAAGGCACATCAATGGAAAATTTCAAATGAGAAAGAAAAAAGAAGATCCTAAACACTTTCAGAAAGAACCAAAAGAGAGTCACATATAAAAGGAGAATCAGAATGGATTTGAGGGCTTCTCAACAGCAAGGGAAAGCTGGAAGATAAGAGAACAATGCCTTCAGAATTCCAGGTAAAAAAAAATTTGCAATCTAAAATAATTATCAAATCAAACTCTCAATCAAGTATATGACAGGAAAATAAAGACATTTTAGTATAGTCTAAAAAACATATTCCTCTATACCCTTTCTCAAGAATATAGTGAGTTTTTTTCCCCACCAAAACAAGGGAATATACCCAGAAAGATAAAAAAATACAGCAGTCAGGCAGGAAGAACCCCGGGGATGAAAGTGAAGGAAAGTCCCACAACAATAGCCGTGCACTAGATCTAGAATACAACCAGAGTAGTTTATAGTAGAAAGATGGAGGTACTCATTTGGATGTTTTCAAGACAAAAAAAAAAAAAAAGAATTGATAGAATGTCTGATTTTTTTTTTAAAGATTTTATTTATTTATTTGACAGAGAGAGAGAGAGCACAAGGGAGGTGGGGGGAGGGGCAGACGCAGAGGGAGAAGCATACTGCCCGCTGAGCAGGGAGCCTGATGAGGATGCAGGGCTCCATCCCAGGACCCTGAGATCACTACCTGAGCTGAAGGCAGACGTCCAACCAACTAAGCCACCCAGGCACCCCTGAATGTCTGGGGTTTTTTTAACCATATTGTGAGATTTAAATTTCACTCAGAGTTTGGGGTTGAACTATTGATAGATAGGTATAGAGAAAATTAAACAAATAAAAAACAAGGTAATTCTTTACTCCAAGTTAAACAAAAGGTTGTATAAGATAAGAAATATTCTTATACAACACTATATGATTCAGTAAGAAATAGTATTTACATAGCTATGATAGTTTATATATTTAATATTGATTTCACTATAAATTGGTGACAACCCTCTATTAGAAGGGGGAAGGCTAAGTGTGAATATTTGAGGTGGTGTGAAAACGTTAAATCTTATCTTCTATAGTATAAAGTTAATAGATAACAGCCCAAACTGTTGATTTGAATCATCAAGCGAACAGCAATATAAATGTGTTACTTAGAAAATTTGAGGTATATGCCAAAAGAAATAAAAGTGGTTGCCTCTATGGAGTAAGGAAAGACAATTCAGGAGCTGCTGGTGGCAGGGGAGGGGGGGAGGCTTTAGGTCTTATAATATTTTTAAAGTATTATTTGACTTTTAAGACTAGGTACATGTGTGGGGCGCCTGGGTGGTTCAGTCGGTTAAGCGTCTGCCTTCAGCTCAGGTCATGATCTCAGGGTCCTGGGATTGAGCCCCGCATCGGCTCCCTGCTCAGTGGAGAGCCTGCGTCTCCCTCTCCCTCTATCCCTTCCCCTCCCAGCCCCCCGCCCACGTTCATGTTCTCACTCGCTCTCACTCTATCTCAAACAAATAAAAAAATATTTTTTAAGAAAAAGACTATGTACATGTGTTACTCTGATTTAAAAGAGCAAAACACGACTCTCTTTGCTGTCATAATCCAACAGCTTCTATAATGTTTGATTACATTTCTTAGAGTCACAAGGACAAGCATAAAGAGGTTTGGGAACAAACACAACTGATTCTTGGCGATGAACCACTTAAGTAGAAGAAGAGCTATGAGGGCTTGCTCAAAGAACCCTACCAGCTGTGTGCATTCAGCAAGTCAAGGGCACTGGGTTGGCCGCTCTCTTACAGGAATACAGAGCGCTGGTTAATCAAGCAAATCATTTAAACTGAGGTCAGTTAAAAGAGCTTCTACTGTAATGAATCCCGATAATAAAGGAGATGAAACAAAACAGCCTTAATCCATCCACTTTTGCTACCCTGTCATTTTCCCATGGGTTGGATGGAAGAAATTTCACAAGGAGTGGAACTCAAGATCATCCTTCTCAGGGTCATTCAATTTGCCCTGAAATATTAAACCTCTTGAGGGAAATCTGCAAATGAGGATAAATTAGAGACTTATGAAGGGCAGGCTATCTTATACACCCTTTGGCTTAATCTACAAAATGAGTTGGAAAGGTGGCCAAAGAGATAACAAAGCAAAATCTGCCTTTTGCACCATGATGGACCTGATTTTATTTCAGTAATTAGATTTATTCCATGGTTGCCTCCTTGTCCTTTGCATCTGGGGTAAGGATATACATTAGCATCTCAAGAGAAAACAAGCAGTCGGGAGCCAAAACAGGACTGGGGACACAGCCTCCTGGATCCACACTGAGTAGGCTTGTCCCAAATCTCCTAGTGTCAAAGTCGCCACCTTACCTACCCCATCAGTGAAACCTTGAGGTTTTGAGAATTTTGGATTGCTAATTATTAAACGAGTTAAGGATGTACAGCCACCTTTTCAACAAATCAGCCAACTGCTGATCTCTTTGCTGTGCTATTTGGGGCAATGATCTGCAGAAATATCGCCCAGTAAGGGAAATGTGTCTCTTGCTCTTTTACTTGGACTCAATTCTGGAGGACCTAGGAAGATGAGATCCACCTCCCTTTCCCTCATTTGCTGAGCCCACAGGGCGTAACAGCCCTTCCTGATAAGAAATTGTCAAATTTCCTATACAGCTGAAACTAGAAAACCAAGCAAGGTAGAAATCGGCTTTTAGGAAGGACAGAGCTATTAAATGATTTTACTTTTCTATACGTAGATTCAGCTAGGAAGGGCGATTTGGATCTTCTGAAAGGTCACTCCTCAGCCCATGCAAATCAACTCAAAACAAGTATTCTCTTTATTCAGAAGCCTTTAGGCTACTTTCTTCTTTGGCATCGGTAAGCACAGAATGTGACTCAGGTTCAGCTGCATAAACGTCTTCTTGGTTGAGTCTATAACCGTCTCATTGGCCACTCTCCACTGAGTGGCCACCTCACTAATGTCTAGGCCCCAGCTTTGGTCATTTGCCAGGCTTTGACCTTGACACAAATCTATCAGTATTTGCCATCTTGTTTTTGGTGGTACTGAACAGTTCATTTTAGATAGAAAAACTTGATTTTTTTTTTTAAATCATTATTATTTGAACACAAGAGAAGCCTGTTATGGTCACTCTCCTACTCTCTTACTTCAGACCACCCTATTTTGCACGTTGCAGGACACAGATCAACCACAGAGTAATTTGCATTTACACTTTTTACGGATAGCCATTTGGATCACCTCGTATACACTGGATGTCCCCTCATCTTATTTTTCACCTCCTCCACAACTCCTGCCTTCCCAGCAATGTTTTAGAGCTGTTGCTGAGCTTCATTACCTAATGGGGAAGACTGTTGAATTACTGAATGATTTTCTAACTGGAATCCACATCTTCTCAAGCCTTATTAAGTAAGGGGCCCCAGAGAGGTACCTCAATATCAGAGCTGTTGCCATTCAGAGCCTCCATGTTTGGGTCCCTCCAGTCTTCTGAGAGTGAAGGGATGTAATTCTCTGTCAGAGCATCCCAAACCCTGTAAACAAAGAGAAGCTCTTATTAGCACACATCTGTGGCCTGGCCCCGCCTGGAGGAAGGAAGAGCTGGGCCAGTGGAGGAGAGAGGCTTCTGTGTGTGCCAGGCTGAGATCATCTGCCTTCCAGCATGCAAGAGCAAAGCAGCTTAGAAATGGAATTAGAGGGGCGCCTGGGTGGCTCAGTCGTTAAG